TTCCTTCCTTCCTTCCTTCCTTCCTTCCTTCCTTCCTTCCTTCCTTCCTTCTTTCTTTCTTTCTTTCTTTCTTTCTTTCTTTCTTTCTCTTTTTCTTTTTTTTTTTGAGACAAGGTATCTCTGTATAGCCATGGCTGTTGTGGACCTAGCCCTGTAGACCAGGCTAGCCCTGAACTCATGGGTGTGCCACCAGTGCTCACCTAGTATCTCTTTTTGGGGCAGGGTGCATTTTGAACAAGGCTATTCTGAATGTTAATTTTTATTTTTCATTAGCTGGCAATGTTTGAGATTAGGGTTCCTGGGTCACAGGATTCTGGGTTAAATTTGCGTGGAGAGGTCAGAAGACAGTGTTTATTTAGTTTTAGTTCTCTTGTACCATGTGGTTTCCAGGTATCAAACTCAGGTCATCAGGCTTGGTAGCAAGTGTTATTACCTGCGGAGCCATTCTACCAGCCCCTGTAGTTAAAGATTGAAGAATGGGTGCCGTTTCATGGAGTTGGGTCAGGTTGGGAGGGCTCTGGGTCTCCTGTCCTTTTTATACTCTGTTCATTTTGAGGCAGCTCTCACTCCTCCGCACATCCCAGCTATCGTTTTCTGGTGATTGTTCACTGCCCTGAGCCCTAAAATAGAAACAACAAAACCCACATCTGAGGTTAAGTGATAGGTACTAGTGCACTGACCCACAGTTTAAAACAAAGAGGTGTATTTTTAAGGGTGTTTACATAGAAAAGGATGTTTCTATAATATAGTGGGCTACATAAAGTTTTGGTTTCTTTTAATCCTTGTTTGGTTTGTCTGAGATAGGGCCTCAAACTCAGTATGTAGCCCAGGTTAGCTGTGATCTTATGGCAGTCTGCCTCTCTCAGCCTCTGGGTGTTGGGATTATAGGCATGGGCTGCTGGCCTGGCTGCTGTTTTTGATTGGCACTCGTCCCCACGAGACAGGGTATGTAGCCTACTTGGCCTTGAACTCAGCGGTCCTCTGCCCTATCCCCTATGGGCAGCGTTAAGAAGTGTAAAGTCAGTGAACAGTCAGTGAAAGCACTGGCCAGTTGTCCGTGGAAGACTAACTCTCGTTCTTTCTTGTTGAAACGCACTGTAGGCCAGAAGCCTGTGCTCTCAGATGTTCACGCAGAGCTAGACAGAATCACACGGAAACCTGCTTCTGTTTCTCCTACATCACCTACATCTCCCACGGAAGGAGAAGCCTCCTGAAGATACCAAACAAAGCCATTGTTCATTCTGGGTAATGTCAGCCTGCCTGCCTCTGCCTTTTCCTTCCAAATTGGAATTAAGGGGCTGGAAGCTTTTACAGACAGACAAAGTTTATGTCCTCTCTCTCTTTTTTTTATTTTTATTTTTTTGATGGCTGCCCATTTTTAAGAGGAGCTACACAGAAGAAAGACAATTTTACATTATGTAGAATAACTGCATAAGGAAGTAACTTTGGATCTTGAAAATCTCAAACTATGGTTGCAGTAGAACTAGGTGATCCTGTTTTCAGGCTGTATAAGCTATACGGGAGCATTTAGGGAAGGGCAAAAAATACGTGATTTTGGCAGTTGATTGATTCAGAAGTCTAAACTTGTTTTAGGTAAGACTATTCAAATCATTTTTAAAGATACCTTTTTTTTTTTTTTTTTTTTTTTTTTTGAGACAGGGTTCCTCTGTGTAACAAGGCCTGGCTGTCCTGGAGCTTGCTTTGTAGATCAGGCTGGCCTTGAATTCACAGAAATCTACCTGCCTCTGCCTCCCAGGTGCTGGGATAAAGGCGAGCGCCACCACTGCCCTGCTACCATGTTTTTCTGAAGAAGAGTGATCAGTTGTCAGAATTTGCACACCAACAGCACTGTAGTCACACCTGAGGTGTGCTGAGAAAGTCACACACGGTTGTCTCCCTTCGTGATTCCTAAGTTACCATCAAAAGGACCAGAACCATTGGCCAAGATGCTCCTTTAATCAAGAAAGAAAGCAAGCACACCGCCTGAGGGTGAGAGATGCTGGAGTTGTGAACAAGGAAAGAGAACCGGCTTTGCAGTTGTCTATACACATATATATATATATATATATGTCTGTGTGTGTATATATATATATGGCTCTGCCTTAATATACTCCTTTTTTGTTCATGACTTTCAACTGTAATCACTTAATAAAGTATTTATTCTCTGCATTCAGGGTCAAATAACGTGTTGCCTTTTCTTATATTCCAGTTTGATTTTTCAGCTAAGGAGTGAAATTTGTTAGTAATTTGAAATGTTTGACTTAGTAGGATTACTAAGCATTCTGCTCTTTCTCAGAGGCAAATGAGCAGGTGAGTTCTTGAGATCAGTACCTCCTCCCACAGGTTGGTTGGTTTGTTTCTTGAGACAGGATGCCATGTATTTCATATTGACCTTTAATTCACTATGTAGTCTAATTTTCCCTCATCTCTTATTTTTTTGGTTGTTTGTTTGTTCAGACAAAGGCTCGTGTAGCCAAGGCTGGCCTTGAACTGCTGATTCGTTTGCCTTGACCTCTCAGTACTGGGATAATGGATGTGCATCATTGTGACTGGTTTTCTTTGGTACTAAAGATTGAACTCAGGGCTTTATGCCTGTTAGGCAAGCACTCTGCCCATTGAGCCACCCCTCAGCCAGGACAATTTCTTATACTAACATTCCTGTGAATAAAACCTTAGAAAAAACCAAACTCTGTTACTCTATTTTCTGGCATGTTGATGTCCAGGCATGCACTTGTGTTTGCACATGTTGACGTCAGATTGGCAGCAAGTGCCTTTCCCTCCTGAGCAGTCCCACTAGCCCTGCAGACTCATTAACGGGATAGCTGAGGTTTTGTTGCTTTGGTTGTTTTTTTTTTTTTTTTATTCTTTGCGGGTATATGTATACATACATACAGTGTATTTGATCATATCCACTTTTCACTCTTCCGGCCCTCCCCAGACACACCCTTCCGAGCATCGTATCTTCCTTCATAGCACACTTAGTTTCGTTGATGTTTGCATGTCATAGGTTTGGGAATAGCTAGTAGAGCATGGACAACCTACCACTGGTCACATCCCTCGGCAACAAAATTGGCCACATTCCTCAGCTGGGGTGGGGCCCTGTGAGCCCCTCCCTCGTCTCTGCTGGAATATTGACTGATGACCTTGTGCAAGTAGATAATCGCATCTGCTGTGAATTGAAAATTATTTTAATGTTATGTACATTGGTGTTTATTACTGCATGTATGTCTGTGTGAGGGTGTCAGATTCCCAGGAACAGGAATTACAGACAGTTGTGAGCTGCCATGTGGGTGCTGGGAATTGAACCTAGGTCCTCTGGAGGAGCAGCTGAGCCATCTCTCCAGGCCCAAGAAAACAGCTTCTCACAGTACTCCTGCCCAGTGTCTACCTTGTTTCTGCCCCCTCTTTGATGATCTTCCCTGATCCTGAGGAGCAGGGGCTGACACATGTCCCATTCAGGGTTGGACATGCAGCAGTCACTTGCCCCTGCACTTTGCGGAGGTGCAATCTCTAAGTCAGCCACCCCTCACCGCAGACGAGCTCCTGTGGCTGAGGCAGGAGCGGCACAGATCTGCGGCTCTCCCTGCTGACATGGCAGTTGGACATGACTGTCCAGCAGGACACTAGACTCCCCGGTAGAGCAGAACCTCTGGAACTTTTGACCAGCTTTACAGGAGTAGGCATGGATATCTTGTGTGGGGCCTCAGATCCAGTCAGAAGGTAGTTGGCTACTTCCTCAGGAGTCATACCGCTGGTGCATTTGTTCGGACATCTTGCCTGACATACTGTTTCAATCTTGGATGTTTGCTTTTGAAACCAGATCCTACTAAGTAGCCCAGGCTGGCCTAGAATTTGGATTGTCCTGCCTAAGCCTTCCAAATGCTGGGATTACAGACATGCACCATCCCCACTCCCCCCCAAAATTAGTTGCCACATTTTAAAACTTTGCAACTGTGCTAGAGTAGCAAATGGGTAAAAACAAGTGTGATGTTTTTTTGAAGTTCAGCTTAGGAAACACATCCACATTTGACCTATTAGTCATTTCAGATGGACTTGTTGTCTTCTTTTTGTTATGATTTAAACTTGAAATATCCCCGTAGGCTCATGATTTGACTATTTGCTCTCCCTGCTGGTACTGGTGCTACTGTGGAATCTTAGAAGATGGTTCCAGGTTGGAGGTAGGTCATTGGAGATGTACTTTTGAAGGGCTCATCTAGTCCCCCAGCTCCTCTTTCCTACCTTCTTGTCTACCATGAGTTGAGTCTTTTTAACTCTACTATACATTGCCCAGCACAGTGTTCTGCCTCACCATGCATAGGCCCAGCAGCAATGAAGGGAAGGGACAAGTGACCATGAGCTAAACTAAACCCTCACTCTATGGTGCCAGAGAGATGGCTTGGCAGGTAAAAAGTATGTGCCTCTGGGCTGGAGAGGTAGCCCAGTGGTTAAGAGCACTGGCTGCTCTTCCAAAGGTCCTGAGTTCAAGTCCAACAACCACATGGTGGCTCACAACCATCTATAGTGAGATCTGATGCCCTCTTCTGGCATGCAAGCACACATGCAAATAGAGCACTCATAGGAATAAATTACATAAACTTTTAAAAAGGAGAAACAAGTAACTTAGATGCTTGCCTATTTGTAAAGCTGCGTAACTGTTCTGTAAGCAACAGCACTAGGTAATGGGAATTCTAGGAAAGGAAAAGTACATTATCTCATTAAAGGGATTATTCCCACTTAAAAAAAAAGTTTCCTCTACACCTAAAGACTAGAGTTTAATCCCTGAGATCCTTTGTAGTGGAGGGAGAAAACAGACACCTAACAAGTCCTCTGATCTCAGCACATGCTCTGTTGTGTGAGTACACTTCTGCAGGATATGTAATTTTAAAAATTACTAGGAAGATAAATGGTTAGCCAGGTGGTGGTGGTGCACGCCATTAATCCCAGCACTTGGGAGGCAGAGGCAAGCCAATCTCTTAGGAGTTTGATGCTAGCCTGGTCTACAGAGTGAGTTCCAGGACAGTCAAGGCTACACAGAGAAATCCTCTCAAAAAAACAAAAACAAGGGTGCTGGAGAGATGGCTCAGCAGTTACGAGCATGCATTGGCTGCTCTTCCAGAGGACCCTGGTTCTGTTCCCAGCACCAACGGCAGCTTACAGCTGTTTGGTCTGTAACTCCATTCCAGTGGCTCCAACTCCCTCACACAGACATAAATGTATGACAAACACCAGTGTCTCACTCTGTAACTCAGGTTGCTGTTCTAGAACTCACTCTCTGGCCCAGACTAGCTTTAAACTCTCAGAGGTGCTTCTGCCTAGTCTTTCAAAGCAGGCATGAGCCACCATGTATGGCTTTAATATCCCAAAGACTTTCCAGATATTTGAATAGAAAACCTCTATGATATAGCATTATTTTTTTTTTTTTTTTTACAAAATCTTTAAATCTGGGCCATGTGTGGTGGCACACCGATGTAATCCTAGCATTTGGAAGGCTGAGGCAAGCAAATCTCTGAGTTTGAGGCTAGTCTGATCTGCATAGCAAGTCCCAGACTAGCCAGTAAGATCTTAGCTCAAGTGGCTGAAGAGATGGCTCAGTGGTTAAGAGCATTGTCTGCTTTTCCAAAGGACCGGGGTTCAAACCACAGCACCCATGTGGCAGCTCACAACTGTCTGTAACTTCAGTTCCAAGGATTCCAATACCCTCATACCAACCAATGCACATAAAATAATTATTTAAAAAAGATCTTGTCTTAAGCAAAACAAAACTTTTAAAATCTGTTTAGTTTTACAGTGCTATTTGACACCTTATAATTTGATGTAACTGCTAAAAATTATAAATACATAAGTGAATAATAATTTGTTTCTAAGCTGGGTGGTGGTGGCACACACCTGGAATCTCAGCACTCTGGGAGGCAGAGGCAGGAGGATCTCTGAGTTCCAGGACAGCCTGGTCTACAGAGTGAGTTCCAGGACAACCAAGGCTACTCAGCAAAACCCTGTCTGGAAACAAACAAACAAAAAAAGTTGTTTCCAGGTGTGTGTGTGTGTGTGTGTGTGTGTATAGGGGGATGGTTACTGTTTCTGGGTATAGGGGGAAAAATGGAAAATATTTTGGGCTGGAGAAGTGGCTCAGTGGTTAAGAGCACTGGCTGCCCTCTCTTAATAGAGGTCCTGAGTTAATTCTCAGCAGCAATATGGTGGCTCACAACCATCTATAATGGGATCTGATGCCCTCTTCTGTCATGCAGGTGTACATGTGGATAGAGCACTCATATACTAAATAAATTATTTTAAAAACAATGGAAAACATTTTATTTGCTATAAAAAAGAGATGTTGTGGCCGGAAATGGTGAACCCCCACTCTGGGGACTTAGGCAGAGGCAGAGTGTTTAAGGCCAGTCTGGGCAATTTCAATGAGATTCCTTAAAAGTAAACGGGCTGGGGTGCTTAGCTCAGTGAGAACGTGTGGTGTACAGATTAAAAACTCAGATTTGGCCCGGTGTGGTGGCTCATGCCTGCAATCCCAGTACTCAGGGAGGCAGAGGCAGGCAGATCTCTGAGTTTGAGGCCAGCCTGGTCTATAAAGACCAGGACAGCCAAGGTTATACAGAGAAGCTCTGTCTCGAAAAACAAAACAAAACAAAGAACTTCAATATTGAGTTGAGTTGGGAGACATTGATAAAATGTAGACCAGAAAGGATTTTGCAAATTTATCAATGTAGGGGCTTAACTTTATATTGTAATTATTATTTTGAGGGCAAGTATATGAATGCCACATCATGTGTAGAGGCCAGAGGACAACGTTCAGGATTTGGTTCTCCAACTTCGAGGATCTGGGAAGCAAACTCAGGTGTCAGGTTTGCCTGGCAAATGCCTTCATAGAGCCACCTCATTGGCCTTGGAATTCTGCTTTTGTTGAGACGAGGTTTCATGTAGCCCAGGCTGTCCTCTCCAACTTGCTGTGAGCAAAGAATGACCTTGAACTCCTCATGGTCCTGCCTCCCAAGTGCTAAGTTTACACACATGTGCCACCACACTCAGCTAATTTTGTTGTTTTTCAGCAGATTGTTGAATTACACAAATACAGAAGAGAGTGTGTTACAATTATATGACTTGAAATATCCCAAAATGATACGTATAGCCAGCAGCAAGATAGGAGAACATTCTCAGGA